GACCTTTAGTAAGTCACTTAATCTTTCTGGGTCTCAATTTCCCCTCTGTAAAATGGAGATACAGAAATGAAGAGGGTGGCATGCTCTGATAACATGTTATGTGATAGCTCATGAAGTTCCTCAGACAGATGATAGCTGGGCAAACATCTACCTGATATGGAAAGTCCGTCTCCAGTGCAGAAGGCACGTTCAGCCTTTGAGATAGATCCCTGCCAGCACCGCCTAGGGGGAAAAGCGATTCCTTGCATGGACTTCCAAAACAAGTCAACAGCAAGGAAAAGTCCTTGCACCTCCCACTATCTTTTCCAGAGCATCCCACATGGTTTCAGAGATGCAGGTATAACCTGTCTCAGGATGGGTCTGGACTTCAACCCTACAGCAAAAAGAGTAACAGATCCTCCAGGAACACACACTGTCTGTGCAGACCAAACCATATGGGTTGATACTGTGTGAATACAAGTAAGTAAGCCTCATGAAAGAAACCAGTTTCAAAGGGGGGATATTGACGAAAGAGAGACCTTTGAGGAGGGAGGAATTCTGTGCTCCATTTCTTCCCTCCCATAGTTGTGCGCTAAACAGTTTTGGCTCTGAAGGAGACTGTGGTTATACCCCCGATTTCAGCGTCCTAAAGGTAAAGGCTTATTTGTGTCCCTTCTTCTGGAAGGATAAGGGAAAAGGGAATGGGAACATGACAATTTCTTTTTCCTTGGGTAACAGCAGCCCCCTTTAATAGTGCCCCTTGGATCTGTAAGACATGCTTGACCAGACATACCTCTGGAAGGGGTCAGCACTCCTGGGATTAAGAAACTTAGCAACGCTCCAGAGAGGGAGTTGGAAAGTCATGTTTAATGATACTTTGCTGAGAAACTGGGCAAATTTAATTAAAACATCACTTACTCAAGCCCAGTGGAACTAATTGAGTGCTCTAATATTCTGACTTTTCATTAATGGGTTACAAAAGAGGGCTGCACTTGTGTGTACAAGGGGGAAAAAAAAAAGAGGGGGAGGATATAGAGAAGAGTTTTAGCAAGGCTGCCTGTGCTTCATTTAATATAACCAAGAAACTTCATTGATGGTAACAGAGCTTTAATACAGTTGACTTCTCACCACCACTGCTGCCCCCCATCCCTTTGACACACACCCTCTCCAACCAAGACCCCTCTGAAAGAATAGCTGAATGAACTAGAGTAGATGTGGCAAAGGAAGGGAAATTGCTTTTTTAATAAGTGGCCTATTCAGAGCTCCTACTTTTCAATAAAGAGGAGGCTGGAGAAGTCCTGGTCTAATTACCTCATCCTCACACTAGACAAGCTTGGCCTTTCATTAGCAATTGAGGTCATATCATATAACTTTGTGAGCCATCGTGGGCACAACATGCTCAGTGATTATTTCATTGGAGGCAGCAAAATTGGAGTCAGCCCATCAAGGTTGTAAGAAACAAGTAAAATAGTAATTAAATGAGAACGTCTACCAAGAGACACTAAAACTAGGTGGGATAGGATAATGTCACCCTCACAGAAATACACAGATTGTTTGCCAGTGTGACACCATGGAGAAAATGCTGTGTTGACCAGAAGGGTGTAGGGTTGGTTGCCAAATCACCCAGTTAAGCACAGGTCTTTTTTCTGGTCTCAGAGGAATATTTATATGTTTTGCCCTGGTTGGGACTAATTGGATGGGAAGGATTATATGTTGTTAAGAATCAGTGAGAGACCACCAAGCTTGGGCTATATCTTTAATAGGTATTTCTCCACTCCCTCAGCAAACGCACACATGCACATCCATATGTACTCTGTAAGTACACCAACATAGTCTGGCACTGGAGCAAGCTCCCATAGCAAAACCAAGTACTGGAAGAAAAAGTCTTTGTCCATTCTCAGTTCAGTACAAAGCCACCTGTAGCGCAACAACGGTTTTGGTTCATGCATGTGTGGCTTCACTAAGACATAAAATCTGTGGTTTGGTTAAGGAAAAAAACACAGCAGGTGCCAAGTAGGAATTCAGGAGAACTGGCTTCGGTCTCCTGCTCATCACCAGTTTGCTGCATAACCTTGGGAAAGGCATTCAGTTTGCATCTCAGATGCTGCTTAAAATGGCCATAATCATCGTTTTGGAACTCACAAGGACATTTAACACATTAGAGACCATAAGAGCAACTTAGTTATATAATGTTCAAAATTGTTCAGTTCCAAATTGGCACAAATAAAGGCTATCTGTGCTCCTCCAACATTGCCTTTGATTGACATTGGATCAAATACATATGACTTATTCAATAACCAAACTAGTGGGTTTAGACCGTCATAGCCACTAGGTTAGCAACTCCTGCTACTCAGTGTTTGGAAAGTCTATACAGTAGCAGTTAGTTGATGAGCAGCTTTTTTTGAAGACAGACAAGTAGAGCATCACATTTAATCCACTACCTTCATCAAGGAAAACATCAATAAATTCAGCAAGATAACCTGGTACTGCCTGGTGAGCAACCCTCATCTTCCACCAAAGCTGCATTTGCAGTGGGACCAGGAGGAAGGAAGCCCATTGAACCTCATAGCAATCTACACCCAAGTGTAAGCAATGTCAGAGACAATCCATCAACCACACTAAAGTCAATGCTCAGTCTTCAAATCATTTTCTATGTTTTGAAGTCTGAAGCAAGTGCTTCAGTTTTGACCTTGTAATTATGAAGCCAGCCTCATCTGACTGTAACATCTAATTATCACTTTAAGGACACTATGTTGTGCTATTGGTTTAGGTCCACATATCCTGACTATTTAGGAATATGTTCTCCTAATCTTGGACCACCATCCTTCAGAAACCTGCCTTTTCAACATGCAGTTTGCCTGGCATCAATGATGGTATTGTGAATCTGGTGGGCTGCTTGGATTGCCTTTCAGCCAGATTATGGCACAATTATTTTTAAAAGCATAAACAAATCCTTTTAACTGCTGCTGCAAATAGGCAAAGAAAGCTGTCAGACAGTAATACCAACTCAACAGACACAGGATGGGTGAACAAAAATAGGAACACTGGATTACTGACCTGCAGCAAAGGTCTTTGACTTGGATTGCCATGGGGGCTCTCAGTTTCTGGACAACCATCACAATTTATGCAGCTGTTTAGTACTTAGAAACCACTGCAAATGACCAGAGCCTGACTATGCCAAGTAAAGGGGAGGCAGAAGATGCAACTCACAGTGGGATGAGGGTAAGGGAGGGCAGAAAGAAAGGCAGAAAGAAAGAGGATATTTGCTGCCTCCAGCTCATTCTTGGAGTTTTAACTCAAAGTCATATAGGCAATGTAGAGCAGCTATGACAAATAAGGGCATTTAACCTAAATCTAAGACTGGGTCTCAGCCATATGGGCATCCTGACTGCAGCTACTGGGGTGAAGAGCACTGGGAGTTAAGTCAAATCAGTTAGGCAAGTTATTTAACCCCACCGCTGTGGAGGGGAGATATCCACGGAGTTACAAACACATGTCAATGGCCCCTCAAACCACAGCTTTGTAGGTGTTGGCAATACTATATTATGACAACTCTGGAAAGGGAGGAAAGCTGGGACATCTCACAGCGCTATCCAGCATGAAATCACAGCCTCTGTGGACCACCTTCTCCATTTTCAGTCCCATCTGCTACACTACCAGCTCCAAAGAGTTGGGATAGGCCCTAGGGAACAACCAACCGCAAGGATTGAAACAAATTTCCTCACCCTGCAAAGTCTGTTTCACATGTCAGAGAGCTGCAACAGGAGTTCAGAGGCACTGAGCCTTTTAATTCAGAGGCTGACAGAAAAGCTGTCAGCCAAAGCCAGACACCAGCTAAATCCAGGACATGTCTAATCCTGATCTCAGTGCTGTCTAGGAGTATTTGGTGGTGGGAAGAGGGGGAGACATTTTGCTGGCCAGCACTCACTGGTGGCATTCTCCAATGCCCCAACTCCACCGTGAGGAATGGCATTTTATGCATATGCACAGGAACAACTGAGCTGGGGTGGCGATTCCTAGAATGCACAACTGGCTGGGCTGCATTTGCCTGGGAAACTAGAGACCCAGATCCCCCCCCATCCCAGTCCCAACCCTCTATCCAATCACACAGACAATAACAAGGCTGGGAAGTTATTTATAGCCTTACAGTATGTCCCCCTTGGAGGCTGGTGCAATGAAACACTGATCCTAAGCACCTGTGCAGGCCAATCTGCAGGATTTTAGTGTTCAAGCAACTCTAGGCTAGGTACAGCCCAGCAGATTACAGGAGAAGGTGGCAAGTCCCTTCCTTTCCCCTCTCATGCTGGGATGACCCAGCAATTGCAGTCACTTTGTCCTTTACATCAGTCCTGCAGGAAGGCCCTCAGGCAGGAGGGTAAAGCCTTGTAGGAAGAACATGATGTAAAGAGCAGAAAGTCCTCCAGCAGAGAAGATAAGGATAGGAAAACAAAAAAAGGAAAAAAGGGACTATACACCCAAACACTATCAGCTGCAAGTCCAGCAGCTCTAGGCAACGTGGAAGGCTCTGCCAGAACACAAGGCAGAAGGGACTCTTAGGACTAAGGTCAGAAAGTAATCTCCAGCCTGGTTTTCTGTTAACTGTTTGCCCAGACAATTTAAGCCTTTATGCTATGAACATGATAGCCTTTCCATGTTCTACTGAACTGCTGCAAGAAAAGCATCCCTCAACCTGGGTGTGGCAGCGTAACTCCCTTCCTCATATAAGCCTGAAGAACCTGTCCTTCCATTCCTTTGTAGCACAAGACCCTCTCCTCCCTGTGGAGAACCAGCAATCTTCGTCCCCACCTCACGTTTTCTAGACCTGGACAGTCCTGTTTCTTTCCCTCTGATCTCACTCCAATGGTTTTCCACAACTCTTGAAGCACAGTAACAAAACTAGAGCATAGTCCACTAAGACTTCACCTGGCCATCAGAAGGACCACTCCATACATTTTCCATCCAACATTCCTATTTCCACGCACCTTGTTGCCCCCACAAACCCCAAGCAGTCTGCAACGCACCTTCATGCCCACAAGGTTATTGTGGAAGTCCACCCTGGCTCGCAGGTCCTTGTTGGGTTTCCTCCCCAGGAACTCCTTGACAAACTTGTTGCTGTATTTCAGGTTGTCACCGCAGCCACCCCACTGCCAGGCCTCACGGTTCTCCAGATCAGGGGCCTCATCGCAGGTGCAACGCTCCATCCGCCCTGCGCTGCATGCCTTGGCCATGGCATGCGTCAGCCCTGCGGAGGAGATGGCATACAAGAAGGCTGTCTCCTTAAAACCTGCAGGAGAGAGGAGGCGGCAGCTTTAGTTACAGCTGGAGCAATGGTTGAAGAAAGAAAAAGTGAGGAAATCAAGGCAAAATCCATCATGAGAAGAATTTGAGATACAAAGAATCACTGGTGGTAGAGGGCGAGGAATGATAGAGGTGGCACAAATCAGGATTCAAGAATACAAATTAAATCTGGCCACCTCTGTAACTGTCACTTTACAGACAGTGTCTGCCTGAAAACAGAAAGAGGTGAGCAATAGCTGGACAGGCCACAGAGTAAGCATCACTGCAATACTGCAACCAAAGTGACACCAAATAGCAGGAATCCAGAATAGATTTCCAGTCTGATGGCTGGAAAAAAAGCCATAGAATCATAGAATAGTCAGGGTTGGAAAGGACCTTAAGATCATCTAGTTCCAACCCCCCTGCCATGAGCAGGGACACCACACACTAAACTATGTCGCACAAGACTATGTCAAGACTGG